CAGGCGGATCTCTGTGAGTTCGAGGCCAGCCTGGGCTACCAAATGAGTTCCAGGAAAGGCGCAAAGCTACACAGAGAAACCCTGTCTCGAAAAAAAACCAAAAAAAAAAAAAAAATAAAAAAAAAATAAAAACAATGTTAAATGAACTTTAAAGCTATGGATGCATTTCAAAGTTATGACTGTGTAATATTGGTTCCTCAGGCTTTACAGTACCATGTGTGTAGCAAAGATTTCTTGGACTGTGGAAAGCTGCTTTCCCTACGAGCTCAAATCACGCCCAGGGAGAGTTTGGACGGTGTGGATTTTGACTTGCACTGGGCAGCAGTAACTCTAGCAAATTCTTTCAAATGTGTACCTGTGAAGCCTATTCCCATTATACCTACAGCTCTGGCAAGAAACTTAAGTAGTAATCTGAATATTTCTCAAGTTCAAGGAACCTATAAACATGGGTAAGTAAAAGATCCATTAGTCGGCCGGGCGGTGGTGGCGCACGCCTTTAATCCCAGCACTCGGGAGGCAGAGGCAGGCGGATCTCTGTGAGTTCGAGGCCAGCCTGGGCTACCAAGTGAGCTCCAGGAAAGGCGCAAAGCTACACAGAGAAACCCTGTCTCGAAAAACCAAAAAAAAAAAAAAAAAAAAAAAAAAAAAAAGATCCATTAGTCTAAGCTCATAAATATTGGTTGAATTAATATGTTTTTCAGTAACTTAATTGGTTCTGAAATTCTCCTCTTTAATGTTAACGTTGTTTAAAAGTAGCATGTAAGTAAAGTTGAGGAGTAAAATATTTTAAGTATGTAATCATAAAGACTTTTAATAGATGAAAAGTTTTACATATTGTCTCTGTGGTCTCCTTTGCATCTACTACCTAAAATCTGTCTCAAGACTCAGTTTGCCTTTTTTGGGTTAAAAGCACATACTTAAAATTATTCTTACGTAAGTTTCTTCTATTTAGATATATTACCATGGATGAAACACGAAAATTGTTACTTTTGCTGGAATCTGATCCCAAAGTTTATTCTCTACCATTAGTGGGAATGTAAGTATTATTCTACTTAAGAAATCCTTTCAGCCTAGTGTGTATCCAGATAATCAAGAAAATTAGATATATTATGAGTACTGAGCTCATCTTTTGTTGTTGTTGTTTGTGTGTGTGTGTGTGTGTGTGTGTGTGTGTGTGTGTGTGTGTGTGTGTGTGTGTTTGGTTGAGGCAGGACTTTTCTATGTAGCCCAGGCTGGCCTGGAATTCATGGAGATCCTCCTGCCTCTGCTTCCAGAGTTCTGGGCCTAAAGCAGTGTGCCACCATGCCTGGCTTAGCTCATTTTATAAAGCTATAAAAGCTGGTGATTCTTAAACTTCTGTATTTTACTGTTAGAATCAGTCAGGTAAAATATGATTTCTGAATCCTAACTGAAGTTGAACGTCTCCAGCCCTCTCATTACCTTTGTCTTTATGGTATCTAGAATCTAGGGCTCAACATAATAGAATTAAAATCTCTTGACATGCACTTGTACAGATGTTCCCTTTCGTGTTAATGGTTTTCTCTTTACAGTTAGTGGTTAATGACATTGAGAAGATGATTCAGAAACTCAATATTTCTATCACATGCTTTCTATACGTATAGCATGTTTAGTTCTGTGTTAGGGCTTAAAATCCCTTCTCAAGGAATTTATACTCAAACTATGATATTTACAAGTAGGAAAAATAGACAATAATGAAGTATATGACTTACCTGTGAAATGGGCACTATAAAAAATAAACACAGTGTAAAAGAAGTAATTGTGGCTCATTTCCAGTCCGGGCTAATTGATTTGGACATCCTACTTTTATCTCCACAAACCATTTTTCTCTCCTACATCCAAGTGAAAGAGGAACAAAGGGCATGCACTTATCTTTCTGTCTGTAGCTGTGATATATTTATGTTACCGTAGATATTGATGTAGTCTGCCTCTGAATTATCAATGTGATTTCTAATTAACTGTAGGGGTTTTTCCTTTTATTTTTGTTTTTATTTTGAGGTAAAATCTCCCTATATAGCCCATGCTACCCTAGAATTTGTCTCAGTCTCCAGGTGTTGGGACCACAGATGTGCCACCATACTTGGCTGATTATATACTTTCTGTCTTTTTCTTTTAGTTGGCTCTCTGGAATTATACATATCTATAGCCCTCAGGTATGGGCTTGCTGCTTGAGATACGTGTTCAGTTCTTCTATTCAGGAAAGGCAAGTGATATTTCACTCTATAGTATTTTGGTTTGATTGTTTCCCTGTTTATATTATATTGGTTTATATTATAGTGAATTGTATAATACATATACTGTTTTAATATCTTACAATACTTAATAAATGCATACTCTAAGAAAAATAATCCTTGGACTGGAGAGATGGCTCAGAGGTTAAGAGCGTTAACTGTTCTTCCAGAGGTCCTGAGTTCAATTCCCAGCAACGACATGGTGGCTCACAACCATCTGTAATGAGATCTGGTGCCCTCTTCTGGTGTACAGGCAAACATGCAGACAGAACACTGTATACATAATCATTAAATAGATCTTTAAAAGAAAAAGAATCCTTAAGAAGGTAAGCTGTGTAGCTATCATGGGTAGGCATAGGCTCTGAGTGAAAGATCCCACAGTAAGGATGCTAGTGTGGCTAGACAGAAAGGCAAAGAAGAAGGATATGAGCTCAAAACAGGTGAGTGGAAAGCCTTTGTTTGCTTTCTCTTCAGTCTTTTGAGACAGGGTCTTAATCTCTAGCCAAAATGGCCTTGAACTCACTGTGTAGCCCAGATTGAATTTGAACTCAGGGGCAATCTTGCTGCCCTAGCCTCTGAGTGTTAGAACTATAGGCATGAGCTGCTGTTTTGGGTTACAAATGCCTTTGATAATCTTTACTAATCTAATAGAAGCAGCATGGTCTTTTGCAGCATCTATGACCTTTTCTGGGTGCTGTCTTTGGCTATTTTCTCTTGGATTGTGCATCTTTCTCGTATTAATTTGTAAGGCCATGCACTTCCCTCCTTTTGCTCTTTCCCTATTTCTCTTTGCCCATATAACACGTACTTAGAACAAAACTCTCTTCCCTGGGGTTGTTACTTCATTTAATTTTAGTTACAATATTTTTCCTAGACTGTATTCTATTTCCTGATGGTGCTGGGTCTCCAAGCCAAAGCTTTGTACATCTCTGATCTATACCCCAAGCTTTTAAAAAAATATATTTTATTTTGTTGTGTTGTTTATTTTGTTCTAAGTGTGTTTTGCCTGCATGTATGTCTGTGTACTATTTGCATAATTGGTGCCCGGAGAGGCCAGAAGATAGCACTGTAGCCCCAGAACTGTGTAGCTGGAAGTTTTCCTGTGTCCCGCCCAGTCCTGCAGCAGCTCAGACCCAAGTAAATACATAGAGGCTTATATCAATTATGAATTGCATGGCCATGGCCTATGGCTCAATTTTCTTGCTAGCTAGCTCTTATAACTAAACTCAGCCCATTTCTGTTCATCTATATGTCACCACGTGTTCTGTGGCTTCACCTGTGTGTCATTTTTTACATGCTGCTCCCTGACAGCAGGATGGCGTCTCCTCCTCCTCGCCTTCTCCTCTCCTTTATTATCTCCCTTGGATTTTCCTGCCTGGCTCCATCCTGCCCTGCCATAGGCCAAAAGGCTTTATTTATTAACCAATCAGAGCAACACACATTCACAGCATACAGAAAGACATCCCATAGCAGAACTGGAGTTACAGGTGCTTATAAACTACCAAGTGGGTGCTGGGAATCAAGCCCAGGTCCTCTAGAAGAGCAGCAGGTGCCCTTAATGGCTGAGCCATCTTTCTAGCCCCAACCCCAAGATATTTTAAGTCAAATTTATCATTTTTCTTTCTTGCTTAGGCTTTTCCCACTCTGAGAGTATTACTAAAATAAAAGAATCCCTGTATTTTTTTAGATGCTTTTATAGTTATACTCTTTATATTTTATTCACCTTTCCAAGTGAACAAGCCAGACATAATGAGGCCTACCTTGCCTATAATCCTAGCACTGGGAGGCTAAGGCAGGAAGACCAGTTTGTTGAGGCTAGCCTGGGCTACAGAGCAAGTTCCAAGCCAGCCTACATTATGTGAGTTCTTGTCACAGACAGACAAACAAAAAGAGAGGAAGGGTGCTAAGTGTTTTTTTTTTTTTTCTTTTTAAAATTTGTATTATTACTAATTTTATGTGTATGGGTGTTTCATCTACATGTATGTCTGTGCATCACAAGCATTCCCGCTGTTCATGGAGGCTAGAAGAGGACATGCTGTCCCATGGGACTGGAGTTACAGATGGTTGCGAGGCACCATGTGGGTGCTGGGCATTGAACCTGGTCTTCTGGAAGAGGAGGGAGGGCTGTTTAGCTGCTGAGCCTTTAGTCGCAGGGTGCTGAATATTCATTATTGTTCATTTCTGCAGTTTAATACAGTTAAGTTTTATTATCAATTACTCGGGGTTTTTTGTTTCTTTGTTTGTTTTTTCCCCCTCCAGGTTTTCAAGACAGGATTTCTCTGTGTAGTCCTGGCTAACTTGAACTAACTGTAAACCAGGCTGGCCTCAAGATCTACCTGCCTCTGCCTCTCTAGTGTTAGGATTAAAGGTGTGCACCACCATGACCCAGCTATCAATTACTCGCCTTGTTTTAAGTTTCTATAGACAGTAAATGTTCAGTGAAAGCTCGGGTGGGTGTTGAACTCCGGGACTCAAATGATCCTTTTTCACTCTTCCACTTAGCTACAGGTGTATACCACTGTGTGCATATTCTCAGTGTGTGTGTGTGTGTGTGTGTGTGTGTGTGTGTGTGTGTGTTCATTTTTGAAATGAAGCTTTCGTTTTCCATGTTATACATTCCTGTTTTGATGCTTTATAAGGAGTGTTTCTATATTTATTATAGAATGTATTTCTTAATTGAAAGTTAAGTACTTTGGGGACTGGAGAGTTGGCTCAGGGTTAAGAGCACTGAGTGCTCTTGCAGAGGACCTGGGTTTGATTCCCAGGACCCACATACTGGCTCTGTGCCTCCAAGGGCACCAGACATGCACATTGTGCAGATACATACATGCACATTGTCCAGATACATACATGTACATTGTGCAGATACATACATGCACATTGTGCAGATACATACATGCACACAAACGCTTATTCACATAAAACAAAAATAAATCTTTGGGGACTGGAGAGGTGACTTAGCAGTTAAGAGCACTGGCTGTTCTTCCAGAGGACCCCGGTTCAATTCCCAGCAACCACATAGCAGCTCACAACTGTCTGTCTCACAACTCCAGTTCTAGAGGATCTGACATCTTCATACCAATGCACATAAAATTAAATAAATTATTTTAAAAGTAGAAATAAGCAAGTTTTAAAAAAAAAATAACAAAGTAAACATGCATACTTTAAACAGTCTGTTGACTAGATTGAGAAACTTACCTGGAAGATCTTTCCATATAATTTTTGTTGTTGTTGTTGTTTTCAAGGCAGAGTTTCTCTGTGTAGCTTTGAAGTCTGTCCTGGAACTTGGCCTGTTAACCAGGCTGACCTTGAACTCACAGAGATCTGCTGGGATTAAAGGTGTGCCCACCCCCTCCCAGTGCAATATAATCTTACTAGCACTAAATTTTAATTCAATGCCATTTTTTTTTTTTTGTTCAGGGTTTTTTCAGAATCTGGAAATTTCATCGTAGTTCTTTATTCATTGACGCATAAGGAACCTGAATTTTATGAGTGTCTTCCATGTGACAGTAAGACACCCGGCCTTCAGTTTCAGTTACTAACTAACAAGGAGACTTTACATCTTTTCAATGTAAGTGCTTAGACTTGCCTGCGTGTGTTATTTTGCTCATCACTCTGACCAGAGTCTGAGATGAACAGGGAATGAGAGATTTCTTAGGGCTGGCAGTTTCAGAGTTTGGCCACGGTAGGTTGTCCTCATGTGCTAGAGCAGACCATCCTGGAGGTAGGACTGTGGTAGAAGAGAGCTCCTCTTCTAACCTGGAAACAGGGCAGCAGGATACAGACATTCCACTGTGTCTTTTTTACACCCTTGCTTCAATCAGGGCTCAGCCCATGGATGGTACCACCCACATTCTGGGTGTGTCTTCATCAGTTAGCCCTCTCCCAAAACAGTAATAAGTAGACATGCCTCGACCATGTAGGTGAATGTCAGTCTAGTCAGGTTGATAGTGAAGACTAACCATCATTTCCTGTTTTTCTAGTCATTTTGTCAGTAGCTTATACGTTGTATTATTCTGTAGTGTTGAGGATTAATTTTTGTTAATGTTTTCCTTGTTACCACTTATTTTTAAAATATGTGGATATAATTAATATTATGTAAAAGATTTTCATGGGAGCTGGAGACATGACTTAAGAGCACTGGCTGCTTTTCCAGAGGACCTGTGTTCAGTTCCCAGCATCCCCATGGTGACTCACAACCATTTGTATCTCCAGTCCCAGGAGATCCAACGAAGTACATAAAAATGCATCTAGGAGCCAAGCCTAGTGGCACAGGCTTTTGATCCCAGTACTCAGTAGACAGAGGCAGGTGGTTATCTGTGAGTTCAGAAGCTAGCCTGGTCTACATAGTGAATTCCAGAAGAGCCAGGCCTGCATTTTAAAACCTTGTTTCTGAAAATAAATGATGCATCTAGGTGGTCATTACAAAGAAAGCAGGTCTTTGAAACTGTCTATATAAACTAAATTTTAAGGATGAGCCAGGTGTAGTGACACATGCCTTTAATCCTAGCACTTGGGAGGCAGAGGCAGAAGGATCTCTATGAGTTATAGGCCAGCCTGGTGTACATAGTGAGTTCTAGGGTAGCCAGGACTATGTAGAGGGTCCCTGTCTTAAAAAAAACAAAAAACAAAAAAACTAACTAACTAAACAAGCAAACAAACAAATAAGTAAATGAAATAAAAAGTAAAGGACACCCTCTCCTTTTTGCCCAGGTTGGCTTCAAACTCCTTGGCTCAAATAATCCTCCTATCTCAGCCTCCTTGAGTACCTAGGACTACATGTGTCTGCCATTGTTTCTGGTTTAAACACTACTTTTTTCATTAATTACTATTTATCCTAGGTCTCAAGATAAGTAATAAAAATATATATTCATTATTTTATTATAAGAATACTGAATAGTTCCACATACTGTGAGGTTTCACTCAGCTCAATTTGTTTTCTTTAAATTCATCTATGGATTGTATCATTTCATGAGTATGTTTTTTTTTAATGTTTTTACATAATTGTTATGTTCACTGAATCCCTGGTTACTGAGTGAGTTTCTTAATACAGGGTCAGGTTTTCATTTTCATGAACAAAGCATGGAGCTAGGCATGCATGCTACAGAAGCAGGTTACAGAATCAGAACTGCTCCTTCTGGCACGATCCAGAGCCACTGTTCAGATAAATAGAATTCTTTGGTATTGGAAGTCAGATCTCAAACTATGGCCTACTTCATTTCAGAACGTTGAACCTTCCGACAAAAATCTAATCCATTTCGAACTGAGTGCCGAAAGTCAAGATGCAGAAGCAGAATTTTTCAGCAAGATTTCCAAGAATCTTTCTGTTAAGAGGTAAAAGATAATCTTTATTACCATGTATATCTTCTTTACTCCTTATTAGTTTTTACTGAGTGATTAAAATACTATTTACTCACTGGGTAAAGTCACTTGCTGTTGACCTGAGTTGGATCCCTGGATCCCAAGTGTAGGTGGAAGGAGAGAAGTGACCCCAGAGTTGGTCTCTGACCTCTACATGTGGAGGCATGCATTCCTCCCACCCCAAAATAAAGAAGCATAGCTTTTTTAAAGACCTCCCGTTATTTTTGGTAAACTTATTTGACAAACTCAGTTCAAAGCTGCCTTTGAATGCTGGGGTTGTTTGTTTGTTGAAATCTTAAGTTTGCCCATTGACTCTTTAGTTAGATTATTTTTATTTTTAAATCATCCTAGCGCTGTCTTGTCTGTTTCTCGGGTTTTTTATTCATTTGTTTAGAAGGAATACAAAATAATGAGATTTGCTATGTTATTTTCACAAACACATAGTGTGCTTTGCTCATATTTACACTTCACTTTCTTCCTCCCTTCCCTCTTCCCCTTAAATAGTTCCCACTTGGTTTCAGGCACACACATATCAGAGAACACATATAACATTAATCATTTTGAATCTGGTTTATTTCAGTTAAATTATCCTCTGTTCTATCCATTTTCCTGAAAATGTCATTACTCCACTCTTTATGGCTGAGTAAACTCATTTTCTTTATTCATTCTTCTGTTGATGGACATTTAGGTTGCTTCATATCTTGACTGTTGTTAATAGTGCTACAATAAGTTTTGGTTTTGATGATGATGACGATGATTATGCAGTGCCAGAGATCAAACCCTGGGCCTCTTAGATGCTAGGCAAGTGGTCTACTATTGAGCTACATCCCTAAGCCTTTTTTTTTTTTTTTTTTTAGCTTTTTTTTTAATTTAAAAGATTTATTTATCGTATGTGTATGAGTGTTTTGTGTGCATGTATTTATGTGCACCATGTGCATGCAGTGCCTTCAGAGGTCAGAGGACGTCAGATTTATGCAAACAGATCTCTGAGTTTGAGGCCAGCCTGGTCTACAGAGTGAGTTCCAGGACAGCCAGGGTTACACAGTAGAACCCTGTCTCAACCAGAGAGAGAGAGAGAGAGAGAGATAGGAGAAAGGAAAGAAATGTAGTAATAGCCAGTATTCCACAGAGTAACTCAAGTGTGCAAAGCTATGTACCGTTTTTCCTCCATAATTGAACTGTCTACCTTAAGCCCCTGTTTGTTCTTTTATTCTATTCAGATTACAGTTAATTCACCATATTTTTATCTCCTTCCCTCTGAGATTTTATGTAGAGGAGATTGATGGTGTATCATTACTGGTAATAAAAGGCAGCATAATTCTCATCTGTTTGTGCTGCTGTTTGCTGAGATGTGTCCATTTGTATCTAATCTTTGACAAGTTGATATGGTTTTTTTTTTAATTGTCACTATTTTTTTATTATTAAAAAGTGTTCTATTCATTTTTACATACCAATCACAGATATATTTTTTAAGGTTTATTTTTAGTATACAGGTATTTAGTATTTAGTGTTGAGTATTGTTGGAATGTGTCTTAGTTACATCTGTTATTGCTATAACAGATAAAATAGCCGACAGAACATCCTAAGGAGGAAAAGGCTAGCTTGGCTCACTGTTTCAGAGTGATTGCAGTTCTTCATGGGAAGGCATGGTGACAGAAGCTGTTCCACCCAGCCGTGATGGGACTTGAGTGATGGTAGCCTCTTCACATGTGGGGGCCATGACGCATACAGCAGGATGGAGTCAGGAGCAAATGTAGCATTTAAAGATCTACTCTAACTGACCTACTTCCAACAGCCAGGCCCTACCTCCTGAAGGTTCCATGACCTTCAAAAGACTGCTACAAGCTGGGATCAGGTTTTGAGTTTTCAAAACCTGAGCCTATGGAGCACATTTCAGATTCCAACCTTTGCAGAGTGCATATCTGTCACACTATAACACGTTTCCCGGAAGTGCTAAGCTTTCTTTCTACGTTGGTCAGTGTGGTCAACCAGAAGGTGTTCAGTGACTATTGATGGACTGTAGCATTTCATAAAGTAGGATTAAACTTTGAGTGATTGGGTAAATGGGGCAGTTACTTAACTAAACCTGAATAGACCACCTTTCCTGGTAAACTAAACTGACCTAAGAAAATCATCTGTAGCTGTCAGGTACTAAATTATATGTTTCCGTATTTACTAAATGACATCAGCACATTTCAAATAGGAAAAAACACTGGTTTACTGAAGGTTTTTCTTGTCTCTTCTTCTACTCTTTAGATCTCCCCAAAAAGTATCTCCTGGGAAAACACCAATAAATAAGCATGACGCTGACTTTGAAGATGAAGATTTTTCTCCAAGACCTATGCCCAGTCCTCACCCAGTGAGTGAGAAGGTAGTGCTCTAAAAATGAACTCACCTTCAGCTAGAAATCTTATATAGTAAAGCACTTAATTACCACCTCATGCTTAGATAAGTCATTCTAGCTATTATAGGATTATATCTCTATGTAGGAATATATGTATATATCTCACAGGTACGTATAATGAAGTAACAGTATATGTGTAGTTCACACATAGGTAGGAATGTATACAGAAGTATAAGGAAACTGAGGTTTCAGTTGCTTAGCTGTTCGCGATCACACAAATAGTAAACAGTACAACTAGGACTCCAGTCCTGGGGCTTTGGCTTCAGAATTTGGTGGTTCCAGCACTCACATGGACTCAGTGTTCTATCACCCGAGCCTGACATTAGTTTTGGTACTGTACTCAGAAAGCATCCTGCTTGCATTAGAGGTTAGTTGCCAATGACCTTTGCTTGTCATGCTTTTTTTAAAATTGCTACCAACTAGTGAACAATTTTAGAAATGTTTAACTTAATTGAAAGGAAAACCAATGAAAGACTTTTAAAAATTAATATGGTTGGCAACTTTCCCTTGAAAAGTCTGCACCGACACTGTTGGGTATTTTAAATTTCCCAAGCATTTCCTTCTCTATCTCTCTCTTTTTCTAAGATGTATTTATTTAATGTACACTGGTATTTTGCCTGTATATGTCAGATCCCCTGAAACTATACTATACAATACTATACAGTGTAGTGTAGTACAATGGATTTTATGTTCACTCCCATCTCTTTTATTTAATATAAGTAAAAGAAATAGCTGGGTGACATTAGTGGAAAAATATCCTGAAGTGTTTATTGGGGTGGATTTTTTTGTTTTTTTGGTTTGGTTTTTCAAGATAGGGTTTCTCTGTGTAGCCTTGGATATCCTGGAACTCACTCTGTAGACTAGGCTGGCTTCTAACTCCCAAGTGCTGGGATTACAGGCATATGCCACTACCACGCGGCAGAGTGTTATTTCTTAGAGGAACATTAACATAGGCATTTGCAGTTGTTGAAGCATTCTACCTGGAAAATTTTTTTTGGCAGTGAGGGTAAGAAACTATAGTATAATACACTTTCCCATTTTTTTGTTCTGTAATCTAGACAATGTTAATCAATTTCATAATAAAAGGATTTCCATTTTAAATAAATCTGGGGGCCTGGGGTGGAGTTGGGGCGGGGGGAGGGGGGGTAGCACACACCTTTAATTCCAGTGGGAGGCAAAGGCAGGCGGATCTCTGAGTTAGAGGCCAGACTGGTCTACACAGTGAGTTCGAGGACAGCCAAGGCTATGTAGAGAAACCTAGTGTCTTAATCAGGGTTTTTATTGCTGTGAAGAGATACCATGACTATGGCAACTCTTAAAAGGAAAACATTTAATTGGGGCGGCTCACTTACAGTTTCAGAGGTTCAGTCCATTATCATCATGGTAGGGAGCATGGCGGCATTCAGGCTGACTTTGTGCTGGCTGTGTCTCGGCTTTCAGGGAACAGGAATTGTGACACTGGGTGGTATCCTGAGCATAGGAGACCTCAGATCCGGCTTCCACAGTGACACACTTCCTCCAACAAGGCCATACCCACTCCAACAAAGTCACACCTCCTAATAGTGCCACTCCCTATGAGATTTGGGGGGCCAAATACCCTCAAACTACAACACCTAGTCTCAAAAAACTAAATAAGTTGGGGGAATATTTACCTATATTTGAGGGCAACAACCTCATTTACTGTGCTCACAGTTGTATTTCTGCTGCCTGCTGTGTACCCAGAAAATATTTGTTGATAGTCTAAATAATGGACAAATCTTAATATGTAACTGGACATTACTTGGGAAATACTTCTCTAAGGGAAATGGAGCAAGTAAGTTTCCTAAGAATTTCCTCTCTGCTTCCATTTACAGATTTCTCAGATCCAGCCGTCTGTCCCCGAACTTTCGCTTGTGTTAGATAGCAACTTCACAGACTCAAGTCATCAGTGTGACCCGCTGGAAATGATGGCTGTGGAGAATCCTTTGTTGAGGAAGCCGCTGCAGCCTGAGCTTTGTGATGAGAACCACAGCTCAGAGGCTGACGCTGGGGAGCCCTCCCTGAAGGGAACACCTAATCAGTTCAGCCAGGACACCGCTCTCAGACAGTGCAGAGGGAAGCAGTCACCCACCTGTAAGAAAGAAAGACCCCGTTTCAGGAACACTAATGCTAAACCATTCCTTAATGCACCTTCTCCTGCTGTATCTGAGAAACTTCAAGCAGTTTCTGCTGGGAGCATGCAGAAGGAAGACTGCCCTATGAGACCTTCCACGATGAATTCTAGGCAGCCTTCACTTGCTCCACAAGCCCACCCACACAATTTTGTTTTTTCACCTCATAATTCAGCAAGACCAATGGAGCTTCAAGTACCTACTCCTTCGCTACCATCTTACTATCCCACAAACATCTGCAACTGTTGTCAACATCATGGCCATATTCAGTATAATACAATAAATTCTTGGCAGGGAAATACAGTAGGGTCCATTCAAGACCTCCGAAATGAAGCCCTTCCAAAACATGCATTATTTCATTCAAGTGGATGTCCATCTCTGTGTCATAATGCCATCTACTCTTCGAGTAGCCCTGTGGCCCTGAAACCTCAGGGGGGTATGGGTGGCTATTCTCCCCACAGCAATGCAGAGCCGTCCGCTGTAGCAGGACCTTCACCTGTGGACTCATGTGTACTACAGACTTGTGCCATGTGCATGCACACACCCAGCAAGGTGCCAGACAATGGCATGATGGGACTATCTCCTGATGCATATCGCTTTGTCACAGAGCAGGACAGGCAGCTGAGACTACTTCAGGCACAGGTTTGTGTGAAACTTTCTTGATATTCAAATTCTTACTATATTTCCTTAATATCTGACAACTCTACAGTGATTATGCTTTATAGCACTATAGAATACTAGAACCAAAGAGGCCTTAGAAGCTGAATTCTAGTCGCTCTTGTTTTACAGATAAAGTGAGGATTAGAGAGACTAATTTAACCCTGCTCCATTTTGCCGGTTAGTAGGGCTAGGACAAGAGAGCAAGCCTTCTCTCTGTGGCTCCTAACCTATAACATAGTTGCATTTTCTTTCCATTGTCTATAAGCCTTTTTATGCAGCTGAATACAAAGGCTGGCATGTCTCTAGTTTGTCAGTCTTTATGCATACTCACCTTAGCCAATGAGTCTTTATTGCTACTGTATTTGAGACCAGTTACTACAAAAGAGACCAGTTAAGAACCTCTGTATCTGCTTGTTTTTATTTGTGTTGGTTTTTGAGATATGGTCTCCTGGGGCCTAGACTGGAATTACAGCTGTGCGTCACCATGTCTAGCTGTCTCTGTGTCTGTGTGAGACTTGTTCCACTCCTTTTGTTCTGCAGTGTTGCCTTTCTTCAGGACTTTTATTGCAGGGTTCTTAATCTTTTAATATAGCCTCATTCAGAGTTTAGTCTGGGTCTGCCTTCCCCTCATTTCATCAGCATCCTTTCCACAAACAGATACCAAACCCGTTGTTCTCTTTGCGACCAATGCTGGTGAAAATAACTTGGAATGTGGGCTTCGTGTTTTTCTTGGCCCTATAACTATACAAATATGTGACTACTCTGTGTAATGTGTTATTTAGAAAAATCTTTGTTTTAAAGTTTTTCTTGAGGCCATCCCAGGCTCTATAATACCCTATCTTTTAAAAAAGGAGGGTGGATGGAGAGATAGATGGCTCAATGGTTAAAGTAAAAGTAAATAACATTTAAAAATCTTTAATAAAATTGCATTTTATAAAAAAAAAAAGACAAAGATTTTCATATTCTGCTTTAAATTCTTTGGGTAGGAACACCTGAGAAAATTCTACTTCATTTCATTTTTAAATGACTTTGTAAGTGTATGTGTGTATACCTGCACGAGTTGATGTGCCCCATACGCATGCCTGTGCCAGAGGCAGCAGAGGGCACTGTGTCCCCTGGAACTAGAGTTAGAGGTGGTTGTGTGCCACCTGGTGCAGGTGCTGGGAGCCATCTCTCCAGCCCCAGCCTTTCTGTGTTTTAAGTAAAGGTATGTTCTTTGAGATTTACGTAAATTTGGATTTTAATAAATCATTAAATACTTAAAACAAAAATGTTAATATAGTTAAGTAATTAACTATTTACATTGAAAAGAATTATCATTTATTTTCTCTTGTTTGAAAAAAGGCTAATCAACCTAAAGAGATTTGTTAAGCTATTTAAAAATATTAGCCACTTACAATGTGTATTTATAGACTGTGAGTTCTCATCTAGATTAGCATTACATAAAATATGACATAGAAATTTTTTCTGTAAACACTATATTTTCCTCATATTTTTTTTCCTTTTTTAAGGAACTCTAGGCATGGGTGCACATGTGTGTGCATGCATCTGGGGTCCTAGGGTCAGCCTTACATGTTGTTCCTCAGGAGCTGTTCACCTTGTATCATTATTATTAATTATTACTATTATTCTTATTATTGACCAAGAATAACAAGAAATATTTTGTAGATGATAGCAATTTCAGTGTAATACATATTTGAATGGATTTAATATACAAATATCTGCATATGCATTGAAAGAATAGGAAACATAGAAGAAACGTGGAACTACTGATAGTAGTTCTAGAAAGAGGATTTGATATATCTCAGGAAGATAATGAGATGGCAAATAAGTATATTTTGATGTTATTGATGCATAATTCACATATAACACAATTTACTTGTTTAAAGTGTACAACCTAGTAGTTCTTTGTGTGTTTAAAAATGTTTTGGAGACAGTCTGCCAGTGGGACCTGGGACTTAGTCTGGTCAGTGAGCCTGAGGGATTGATCTGTCCAGCTTGAGGATCGACCTGTCCCCACCTCCCCGGTGTCCCCACCTCCCTGATGCTCTCACTACAGGCACACATCACACCTGGCTCTTAGGTGCTTGAGATCAAGCTCAGGTGTTTGCACAGCCAGGATTTTACCAGCTAAGCTGCTTCCCCAGCCCCAGATAATTTTCAGACACTCCCACTAGAACTTTATTGTAGTGGGTCTTTTTCTTTTTCTTTCTCTCTCTCTCTCTCTCTCTCTCTCTCTCTCTCTCTCTCTCTCTCTCTCTTTTTTTTTTTTGTTGTTGTTGTTTTTTTTTCGAGACAGGGTTTCTCTGTGTAGTCTTGGTGCCTGTCCTGGAAATCACTCTGTAGCCCAGGCTGGCCTCGCACTCACAGAGATCTTCCTGCCTCTGTCTCCCAAGTGCTGGGATTGAAGGCGTGCACCACCACCTTTGGGTCATTTTCTAAGAGTATATACACATGAGCTTTCTAATCAATTGTTTTGTTCTGTTCTGTCGATACTTTGAACTTTCTTCTATTGCAATCAGTGGACATCCCTGTACTTGTAGGGTGTTGTTTTCAGTGCATTTAATTTTATGTATTTTTTTTTTTTACATTTTTGCATCTTTCAGTTGTATACTTTAACAGCTGAACTGTCTTTCCAGCCCACTGACTTGCATCTTTTATTCATATTTTCAGCTACATATATGCTAATAGCAATGTGCCATAGATCTCTAGAAGTAAACGTAAAAATTTTTATTACAGTGTGTGTGTGTGTGTGTGTGTGTGTGTGTGTGTGTGTGTGTGTGTGTTCGTGTTCATGCTGACCATGGTACACATGTGGAAGTCAAGAGTTTACAGGAGCCAGTTCTCTCCTTTCACCATGTGGGTCCCAGAGACCAGACTCGGGTCCTGGGTCTTGGCAGCAAGTGCCTTAACCTTCAGAGCCATCTTACTGACCTCCAGAAGTAAACTGTGAAGTCAAAGGAAATGTTTATCTAAAAAGTTCAGAGATACCCAGCCTTGGGTAGCTAGGGCTGTAGCTCAGAGGTGGAGCACTTTCCCAGTTTACAAAAGGATACCCAAAGTTGCTCCTCCTCTATTCACAGTAGTTTTTGGCATGATACTTAATGGAGTGGGCAAATGAATTGAACAGACAGATTCCTTAGATTATAATTCAGTTTCCAGCCAATATAGGTTATGTAGCCATGGAAAAGCAACCTTATTGAAATTATATTAGTTCACTGAAATTAAATAGACTAGTTAATCATAATAGTACTGTTGCATGAATCCTAAAATTATTACCACATAGTACCATTTTTTAGGGAAAAAAAACAAAAATAATCAACAACACAACAAATAAAGGGGGATGTCCCTCACTCCAGTATATATTCAAGAAAAATTAAAACCCTGTACATACACTGCTGTGGTGGGACAGCTAGGAGATGCAAAGAGAGGAATCAAGCTGGAGCCAGCCTGAGCAATAGAGTGAGGTTTAGGTCGCTGGGACTACTTAGCAAGACCCCATCTTAAAACAACAGTACAAAAATGTCCATAGCATCATCATTCACAATAGGCCAAATTATAAACAGCCTGGTTGTCCATCAGCTTGATAAATGGATTAACTCAGTGAGCATAGCCACACAGTGGAATATTCAACAGTCAAAAGCATTGATAAAGGCTGCAGTTAATCTTAAAAGCTTTATGTAAAGAGAAAGAAGCCAGTTCTGTCTACATGAAATGTCCAGACTCAGCATACTAGAGAGCTAGGTGTGTTAGTGGGTATAACTAACCCACTAACAGGAGAGAGGCGTGGTAAGGAATGGGAATGAATGATACTGAGGTTTTTATAATTTGAAAAATGATCTTAAATTAATAGTGATCATTGTTTCACATTTTGTGAATATACTATAAACTTCAGAATTGGTGAATTCTAAGATATATAAATGACATCTCTGTTTGAAAAGGAGAGGGAAGGCTCTTAGTGTTGAGACCTCAGTGTTGCTACTTGTCACACAATCTCAACAGGTAACTGTAATGTTTCAAGTTTCTAACCTGTAAAATTAATTTTATTAGTATACTCTTCATGGAATTATCACACATAAAATCTGTGGCATAGAGCTGGAGAGATGGCTCAGTGGTTAAGAGCACTGACTGCTCTTCTAAAGGACCCAGGTTCAGTTCCCAGTATCCACATGGTGGCCCACAGCCATGTTAACTGCTTGTAACTCAAGCCTCAGGGAATCCAATGTTCTCTTCTGGCCTCCATGGACATCAGGCATGTAGGTGTTCAGACATATATACAGACAAAACACTCATACACCTAAAATAAATAACTTGTGGTACAAGTGTCTTGCAGACAAGAAAGAACCAGACAGTGTTAGCTGTTGTTTGTTATTATTTTATTTCAATGTGGCCAATAATGAGCAATTTTGACTAACCTTTATAAAAAGAATCTTGTGTAAAATGCTCAATATTTGGTAAATGAAGCTCAGGGTGTGCCTCCATCTCCATTGGTATTTAATTTATAAGTGAACTAGGAATAAAATGTGTTGATTTGAAGTATTTGAATAAAAAGTATGATTTGAAGCCATTCAGACTTTTCTGCATAAGTGTCAATTTATGGATCCTAATCTAACCACCTGTATGCTTCACTTTTAAATTTATACTTAATGAAAGTGGGTCTTAGTAACTAAGGGTAATGGCTGTCTGCACTAAGTCTCATGGTATGATTTAATTATATTGTGAGAAAACACAAGTTAAAAGTCATCTCTAATAACTAGAGTATTTGTAATTTGTTACTAAACTCTGCTACCAGTCTTGGTGATTGCCTTTGTCTGTTTAATGCATGTTTTTAATTAATACAGATTCAGCGCTTATTGGAAGCACAGTCTCTAAATCCTGGCTCCCCTAAGACAAGCACTGTGGAAGACACTGGGAAAGCAGCAAGACAGGTGGAGCTGGTTTCCATGGAAGCACAGCCTTCGCCCGGCTTGCACATGAGAAAAAGTGTAAGCATTGCAGTGAGCACAGGTAACTTGATTTCAACTGTAAGAAATTAGTTTGTAATGCTTCTCACGTTGGCCTTTTAAAAGAAAGGAATGTAGGAGGGGACGAGGAGATGATTTAGTACAGTGCCTGCCACACAACTGAAGGATCCAGGTTCAGATCTGCAGCACCCATTTAAAAAGCCAGGTGCAGTAATGAGCATCTATATATAACCCTAGTCCTAGGAAGACTGAGACAGTCTGGCTAGCGCGTCTTGCCCAGCCAGTGAGCTGTGGGTTCAGTTCTCAAAATATAGGGTGGACAGTGGTAGAGAAAGACACCTGACAGTGACCTCTGCTATCCATATGTGTATGTATGTGTGTGTTCACACCAGCATACACACATGTACACACTCATACAGAACACACACCAAAGTGAGGGGAACTATAGTGGTTTTCTGTCTTATAAAATTCTGTATTTACTATATTGTAGTTGTGTTTGGTTGATTGGTTGGTTGGTTTGGTTTTTGTTTTGGTTTCTTTCAAGACAGGATTTCTTTGTGTATCCCTAGCTATCCTGGAATACTCAGTAGACCACTTTGGCTTCGAACTCACAGAGAGCTGCCTGCTTCTGCCTCTCGAGTGCTGGGATTAAAGGCGTGCACCACCACTGCCAAGTTCCAAAGCAAATTATTAATAGTCATTTGAACTAAGAAACTTTTAGAAGCATATTTATTTTATATATACTTAACTTTCTCTAAAGATATAGAGTAGGCAGGACCTATTACAACTTTTTAAATTGAATGCAAAGTTAAACCTTGATGTTACTAATTTATTATCATAAAATCACTCAAAATAGAAAATTTTTTCATGTGGTGCATGTCTGTAGTCCCAGTGCTCTGGAGTGTCTTGAGTTTGCAGCCAGGTTGGGCTCTATATCTTGTCTCAAAAACAAATAAAAAGGTGGGCGGTGGTGGTGCACGCCTTTAATCCCAGCACTCGGGAGGCAGAAGCAGGTGGATCTCTATAAGTTCAAGGCCAGCCTGGTCTACAGAACGAGATTCAGGACAGGCACCAAAACTGCACAGAGAAACCCTGTCTCGAAAAACACCAAAAAAATAAAAGGAAAGGAAGAAAAAACCATTTCGCCTTATATTCTTTGCTTCTTCAAACCATTGCGTTAACCATGTTGCCCAGGGTGGAAAATATACATGGGTTGTGGGACAAGAGATTATTTGAGGTAGTGTACAGATGAGTGTCTTGTTTTTGTAAATCTGTTTTTCTTCTAGCTTTATATGTATGAGTTCTTTACCTGCATATATGTATGTATGTCCACTAGCTGTATGTTTGATGCTAGCAGAGGTCAGAAGAGGTCATTAGATCCTGTGGAACTGGAGTTAAGGATGCTTGTGAATAACCATGAGTGTTGGCAGCCAATCCCAGGTCTTCTGCAAGAACAATTGCTCTTAACCAGTGAGACTTCTTTCCAAGCCCAATTAATTTTTCTTATGTGTAATGGAAAAGATCTGACTAGCATATCAAACCTGTGACTTCACAGAAGTGGTGAAGCTAGGTAAAAATAAAGTGAGTTTATGTAACAGAAAGTATAAATAAATAGGATGTAGATTGGCTCATTAGAGAAGCATTGGATTTTTGTTTGGTTTTTCTTAAGTGTGTATGTTTTTTATATGCATGTGTGCACATGTGTGTTCAGGTGTGCTGAACCTTGTAGGTATGAATAGATGCCAGAAGATGACATCAGTCTGCCTTCTCATTTGCATCTCTGCTTTATTTTTTGAGACAGTCTTTCTTAAACCTGGAACTTGCTGTTTCAGCTAGGCTGCTGGCCAGCGGGTGGCATTTAAATGGGTGCTAGGGATCCAAATTCAGGTCCTTGTGCAAGCAGTTCACACTGAGCTGTCTTCTTATCCCCAGAGCACTTGAATCTTTAAATACCCGCCTGACAGTATGTGTGCCTTGTGGACAGTTTCCTAGAACACTCTACTTAAGGATCAAAACCAGAGAACCTATGAATTTATAGATCTTTGATTTTTTTTTTGCATGTATATTTTTTCTCTTGGGGTATTTCCAATTTATTTTGAGACAGACTCCCACTAATGTAACCCAGATTGGCCTTGAACTCAATACATATCCTCAGCTTCTTGAGTGCTGAATTACAGGCATGCCACTGTACCTTAATTGGAGGAGCAGAGACTGCTCTTGAGCAAGCAGGACACAGGATGTCCCCTTTCCTTGCCACTGGTTTTCTCTTTCTGCCTTTCATCTATTTCTCTTTGTGGCATTTTCTTGAGGTCATTTGAAACAGTGTAATTTTGTTAAAACCATGTAGATGATCTTTACAAGCTTTTACATTTGTCCTTTCTCTAGTTGACTTTGTTCTGGTATCTGAACTCATTTAACCTCTAGGTGCTAGCTTGTTTTGGAATGCAGTGGGTGATGACCAAGAGCCTGACCCACAGTTAAAGCAAGATGACACCAAGATTTCCAGTGAAGACATGAATTTTTCTGTTGATATTAATAACGAAGTGACAAGTCCTCCAGGTAGTGCATCTTCATTAAAAGCGGTTGACATTCCCAGTTTTGAAGAAAGTAACCTTGCTGTGGAAGAATTTAATCATCCACTTCCTGAATCCAAGTAAGAGCCTTCCATTCATTGTTTCACCTACCTTTTTTTTTTTTTTTTTTTAATATTCTTTTTTTGCTGTGCTAAGGATTGAATATATTTTATATTTGGGGGCTGTATTTTGTTTTGTTTTGTGGGGGGGTTGTTTGTTGTTTGTTTGAGGCTGGACTCTATGTAGTTCTGGCAGTCCTGGACCTCACTTTATATAGACTGGCCTTGAACTCACAAAGATCTACCTTTCTCTGCCTCTTGGAATTAAAGGTGCATGCCCTTTGCCCAGCTTAGAATGTGATTTTTACATTTATATACATAGTACAGAATAATTAAATCTGGCAATCAAAATTATGACCTCATATACTTTTTGTGGTGAAACATTTAAAATCTGCTCTGTGATTCTGAAGTATAGCATGCACTATTATTTATTACAGTCACCAATGTGCACATTTTCTTCCTCTTTGAGACATTGATATATTTACTGCATTTTCATTGATGTCTTTACAAAGTAAGTGTCAGTATAATGGAGAACTCTCAACTTTCTTCAGCTGTCCTCTAAGTCAACTGTTGGATGTGTTCATCTGAATGAATCCCAACATCTAAAAAAAGCTTCAGCATTCTCTGTGCTCAGACCTCACCTTCGAGATTCTGATAGTACAGAGTTCCAAGGGACCATGCAATTATATTTGAAAGAGACAACTACTTACATTTAAAATGCCATTTTATATGTTTGCTTCAAAATAGTAAATGAACTGACTAAATATAGAAACAAAACAAAATTGACAAAATGGTAAATTTTGAAACATTGTATATGGTGTTTTGTTAAACACTTTACACTTACATTTGAAGTTTTTCCATTATGAAATTTTCTATTAGTGATTCCAAAGTAATTTAGATCCTCAGTAAATCTGGCTGGCAAAATTTAGCAAATGTTCTTTAAAATAGCATGAGACAAGCAGTAGATTTTTTTTTTCAGATTAAAAGCCTTGTGATACTAACTGATATTTTAAATTATTTGATTATATAATAGTTAAAACAATGAATATGTACCTCTAAAAAACAAAGAGAAACACGTCTTTTATTTTATAATACTGTTTTGATCACAGATTCAATTAAATGTTCATGTGAGTACCAGTTAATTTAAAAACCTTTTGTGTACATGTGTACATCTCCCCAGCAAAATTGAGTTCCTGGAGCAGGGTGGTGATCATATTTATTTCTCTATCTTTGACACAGTATCTCCCTACATTAGCTCATTCATGCATTCATTTAGACAGTCCAGCTGTCCTTGAACTTGATATGTAGCACAAGCTGGCTTTGAATTCTTGATCTTCTTGCCTCAGCCTCCTGAGGCTGGGATTATAGGTGTGCACTACCATGTCCAGCTCATGTTAGCGTCTAAATAAATGTTTACTGACAGAAAGAGCCCCAAGTCTTTATACATTTTATTTAGAATAATGTCAGAACCTCAAAAAAGAACCATGATTTACCTTTTATCTTCCCTGAATTAATTCTCTTTTTAATTAATTAATTTTTATGATTGTGAATATTTTACCTGCATGTATATCTGTGCACCATGTACTTGCAGAGGTTAGAAGAGGACATTGAGTCCCCTGGAATTTAAATTACAGATGATTGTGAGCTGTTATATGGATGCTAGGAACAAAACCCAGGTCCCCTGGAAGAGCAGCCAGTGCTCTTAACCATTGAGCCATCTCTCCAGCCTTTTCCTTGACTTAATTCTGTAAACTAAAGAATACTTTCTAGAATTAAGGTTTTCAAATCTGTGAAAATCTCCAATCCTTTGGTAGTTTTTAACTTCAGAAAAGGACCTAATTTAACCGACAGAATGAAGCTAATTGCTTTTTCTGAACAATTAATCGGCTTTATTGATTGTAACACCTAACAAGATGTAGATCTAGTCTCCCCCCCCCACACACCTTTTTAAGCATATTTAGAATCAATGCTATCTCTAGGCCAGATGTGGACTTAGAATATGAAGGCAGGACAGTCATGAGTATGAGGCCAGCACAAACGCTATAGAAAGACCCTGTCCTAAAAAGAAAAAAGTCATTTCCAGATCTGTGCACGGTGGGTTGGTACTTCTCTGCCCCCTGGCTGACTGCTGACTCATGCTGTGACTTCACTGCTGAGTATTCATCGGTGGCACATAGCTCCCTGTGCTCTGGTCCCCCTTGGACATCTGCTAGATCAGTCTTTGTGGTGTTGGAGCAGTCTCTGAAGATAAGTTTAAGTTTATTGGCTGTGCAGCTTAATTGGTTATTGATTACTCTTTTCCAATGGATAGTGATGGTATAAGGCTTCTGTAGAGACATTCTTTAAAGCAGATTTTAAGAAGCCATGCTTTGGATGTATTGACATATTGGAGTCATCCTTTACATGTATGTTTTAATCTTACTTTTTTGAGGTTTAAAATCTTTCATGTCATCTTTTCCAGCTTTTGTTCTTATTTACTAGTTTAGACACCCAGATAAAGTCTTGAGCACACAGTGTAGCCCAGTGTTAAGAGCACACTCTCTGGCTCAAGCTTCCAATATGAGTCATGACAGTATGACCATGGACTGCTCTCACAATCTCTAGTTGACTGTTTTCTCACCTGTAAGATGGGAATAATAAAGGCACCTATTCTGAGATGATTATGAGAATTAAATGTGGATATATGTAAATGGTCAGAACAGTGTCTGCAGCTCTGTAGCCAGCGTTTAGCGGAAGGTGAATACTGAGAAGCTGTTAAGAAGTTGAGTGGCTCATCACTTCAGAGGTTCCAGTCCTCGGAGCTGGCTCCATTGCTGTGGGCCATTCTGACACCTATCGAAGGGCCCAGCTGCTCACCTCATGGCAAGTGGAAGGCAGCGGGACACAGAGAACCTGAGCTCATGAGTGGACTCTATCCTGATTTTCTTCACCCTGACCCCCAGCTGACTGGATGGTGCTGTCCACATTCAGGGCAGCTCTTCTCTCAGTTGCTGTTCCTCTCTGAAAATGCCCGCACAGACACATAGAAATGTGCTTTAGGAATCTTCTAGTGGTTCTTCAGGCCAATTGGCAGGCAAGACTATTAATCATTACAGCATTTAATCATGTTGGCCATTTAGCTAAAAATGGAATAAGACAAGTTTGATAATTGGCATGGCCTCTCCCTCAGAATAAAAACAGTGTGGCCCCAGATGCTCTAGAAAGTACAGCATAAGCCAGGCCATCCCTCATCTTGTGGCAGGTGTGAGCCAACATGCCTGGCTTTTGGATGACATGATTTTGGGGTTTTGGTGTTTGGTTTGGTTTTTTGAGACAGGTTTTCTCTGTGTAGCCCTGGCTGTCCTGGAACTCAATTTATAGACCAGACTAGCCTCAAACTCAGAGATCCACTGGGATTAAAGGTGCACACCACCACGCCCAGCCTTATCTTCAACATTTTTAAGAGTTGAGTGTTTTGACTTTTAATGGTCAATGCTGAGAATACCGCTGCATATAAACACATAATACAAAATGACAAAGTATATTTAAGGTCATTTCAAAATCAAATCGTCTAACACAATACAATCCCAAAATAAACTAATTTAATACTTACACATTGAAGAAGGATAGTAAGAAAATATTAAATGTCTTTTTTTAAACCATTATGTTTCTATAAGAACAGAAAACTTTGTGTATACAAAGAAACACTGTAGTTCATAACATACAGTAATCTTGGATCTGAGTCACAGCATTTTCAACAGCTTCCCTTGAAGTTTCAAGGTGTGATGAGCGTACACAATGCAGTGTGTGTGTGTGTGTGTGTGTGTGTGTGTGTGTGTGTGTGTGTGCGTGTGTGCGTGTGCATGTGCTGTGTGTTCAGAACAAAGGCTTCAGTGAAGTCAGTTGGTGCAATGTGGACAAACACTGCCAGAAACAACTCTGATTTTATCTTGGGGTGGTTGTTAGCTGCCTAGAACTCAAGATTCTCCTGCTTCTGCCTCCTAAGTGACAAGACTACAGCCAGTGGGGTTGGAGAGATGGCTAAGCAGTTAAGAATGCTTACTGCTTTCTAGAGGATCTGAATTTGGTTACCAGCACCCAGGTCAGGTGGTTCACAACAGCCTGTAACTCCAGCCCCAGGAGAACCCAATGGCTCTGACCTCCGCAGGTGCCCCCCACACATGCACATACCAACACACACATATACACATAATGTAAAAATAATTTGGTGGCTCAGGGGTTAAGAGCACTAACTTCTTGCAGAGGATCCTGGTTCTTTTCCTAGCTGAGACATCTAACAAACACCTAGAATTCCAGTTCCAGGAAGCCTGACTTCCTTTGGCCTCATTGGGCCCCTGCATGCACATGGTGCGTATAAACTTGCACAGGCATACAAACACATAAATAACTAAAAGATTCCAGTCCTGTGCCACCATATCTAGCCACTTTGCTCTTTTCTGTAAGAGCCACAGGTTAGTGTTCTAACAAGAAATGAGCTTATAGTGCTACTTCTCCCAGTCGTTTTATTTTTTTTTTTAATTTGAAAGCGAAAAATGCTCTAAATAAAGTTGAAAAAATAAAAGCATAAAGAAGAAATGCCATCAACTAAATAATGTGATTAATAATTGTGGCTTGTGAACCTTGAATTGGCAAGGATCTATTCTATTTTAAAACTTGAAGTGAGCAAATTATATATTTAAAATGTTTAGATATCCTAAAAGGTTTTGCTGTATCAAATGTAGACGATATCACCTTGTTTCTAGCCTTCAGTGAAAGTTGTCTTAAATGGGACAACAGATAACTTAATAAATTAACAACAGATAGCTTAATAAAACAGTACTATAGTCTGGTTTATGAGCAGCCGCCTGTCAAGATGGTATTTATTTATCTTGCTAAGAGTTAAATGTACAGCCGGGCAGCGGTAGGAGTGGTTGGTGGTGCACACCTTTGATCTCTGTCTCAAAAAATCAAAAAAAAAAAAAAAAGTTGAATATACAAACCAAGCACTGCTTGGGTCTTACTGCTTTCTTCCAAAATGAGTGCACTTCAAGTATGTGTTAAAAGTGTCTTGCTAACTAATGCTAACCCTGCCTGTCCTTTCACGCAGCTCTTCAGAACAGAGACAAGAACCAGGTGTGCCTGTGTTCTTCCCAAATGCTTTGCTGGCTGAGAGTGTGAGCACGTGCTTACAGGCTGAGCCAACAGAGGGAGCCAGTAACAGCACTGAGTCACCAGGGGGACCAAAAGTTGAGCCTAACTGGCCAGCAGATGACCAGAAAATTTACCAGGACTTGTTGGTAAGTAAGTGTAGACCATTTCATCTTTTGTGAGATGGTTACTTAATATAGGAAATACTAGTTAAACTTTCCCTAGGTTTAAACTGATTGAGATCTTGAAACAGAATCACTTTTCGACTATTTAACAATATATAATTTTTTAGCTTTTCATAAATTTTGATAACCTAAATTGTCAGCTTTCTAGTCATCAGATACTTAGCCAGAACAAACAATATTTCTTTTAAAAATAAAAATGTTACTATTCTGCCAAATTCACTCTATAGTTGGAACTGGGGGAAAAGACGAGCAACTTGACTTTGTGAGGAATTTGAAAATAGTGGAATATTTATGATATAACTGATTTCAGTTCAGGTAGGCAGATAATTAATAAAGATTTAGTTTAGTTTAAGAAAGGCTGAGAGGTGCAGGAAAGCAACAACCCAGAATGAACAGAATAGATCTTCTTGGCTGGCTGAGAATGTGAGTGGGTGCTTAAGGTTCACTTCATCAACAGGAAGACTTGGAATGTCTTGTTTCCCTATTTGCAGTTGGCAATTAGTTAAACATACATGAATGGAGTTCTGTGTATTCATCGGCAAATAGTATTTGTTATTTGCCTGATAGGTCCTAGACTAGTGCTAGCTTGTATGCCCAGGGAGTGAAATATTGCTGAATGTGATGAATTCAGAGTACCTTAAGTTGTTGGTGTTTTATAAAATGTGAAAAAGAGCCTAATTGCAAAAATAACAAAGTTCATTTTATAATCTGAAGAAGCATATTGCCAACTTGCAAATGCATGATTTAAATATATTAGTAATTTTTAAAATTTTGCTTTTTGTTTTATTGTAAGGTTTGAGGCGAGGACAGGGTTTTACTATGTACTGTAAGCTGTTCTTGAACTTGTGACTCCTATCTCAGCCTCCTGAGGGCTGAGATTATAGGTGTGTATGCCTAAACCTATTATTTGTTAATAGTAATATTTTTACTTTTTATTCTTCAAGAATTTCATACAAACCAAATGTGGTGGTGCACACCTTTAATCCCAGCACTTGGGAGACAGAATCAGGTAGATCTCTGTGAGTTTGAGGCCAGCTTGGTCTGTATAGTGAGTTCCAGGACAGCCAGAGTTACATAGTTGTCTCAAAAAAAATAAATAAATAAATAAAATAAAAAAATAAATAAATAGATAATCACTTCATATAGGTTCATGTTCATCCCTCTCTCCCTTTTTCACTTGTTGGCTTTTTAAGTGACATCTTCTCTTTCCTGTAGGGTCTGATGAAATCATTAAGATGGGCTCCTATTTAAAAGTAAACAATAATCCAGCTGCTGTGGTAGCTCATTCCTCTAATCTCAGCACTCAGTGGGCAGAGGGGGTGGTTCTCTGTGAGATCAAGGTTGGCCTTGAAACTTTGTCTCAAAAAAAGCCAACAAAGAAAAGCAGAAAAGGAAGGAAGGAAGGAAGGAAGGAAGGAAGGAAGGAAGGAAGGAAGGAAGGAAGGAAGGAAGGAAGGAAGG